TAATTAAGCTTCTCTCTCTGCCAATATACACTACAACTCAGTCATATATACTGAAGCCAAATCAAACTATTTTTTAGAAGAAGTGTTAACAAATCTCCGCCAGTGAGACGATTGAGATGCCTTCATTTATCTTAGCTCTTTGATGTGGTAGAAACCTAAATGCAGTGCATTTTGACTTCCTAGCCATTAGATGCAGGCCTTTTGGAGATGCCCATATTTTTAGAATGAATAAGATAGACGATGGTTGTCCTTAATTACTATTCATTGACCCTGGATAAACAGTACATGGACATGAGGCTCAGTTCAAATGCACTTCGTAGTTAATTTTTTGAGTGACATTCATTCAGAGATAGCAAGAACTGCAGATGCTGGAGTCCGAGATAACACAGCAGGCCAGACAGCATCAGAGGAGCAGGAAAGTTGACATTTCGGGTCAGGACCCTTCTTCAGAAATGGCGGGTCAGGGTAGGTGGAAAGGGAGCTGGGAAATAAATAGAGAGGAGGAGTGGGGCTGGGGAAGGTAGATGGGATGGTGATAGGTGAGTGCAGGTAGGGAGTGGTGGGGATTGGTCAGTGAGGTGGGAGCAATGGATAGGTGGGAGAGAAGATGGACAGGTTGTGTCAGGTCAAGGAGGCGGGGATGAGAGGGAGGGTTGGACATGGGATGAGGCTGGGGGTGGGGAAAGTTTAAAACAGGTGAATTCCATGTTTAGGAGCTATTGGGCTGTAGGCTCCCGAGGCAGAATAAGAGGTCTGCTCCTCCAGTTTCTGAGTGGTGTCATTGTGACACTGGAGGAGGCCCAGGATGGACATGTCACCGAGAAAACTGCCCAGTTCACATTTGTAAAATGACTACTTGGCATTAGCACTGGAAAGCTCCTGGCACCTGTCATATTCACCAACAAAAGGTAGCACTAGCAGGCAAAGGAGGAGACTGAGTTTGGGGAAATGATAAGGATTCAGTACTCTTCAAGGTCACCAACTGAGGTGCATTACAACAATGAGGCTTAATTTGGCACATTCCTGCCTCAAGCTGAACCTTGTAGAAAATGGCAAGACACAGAAGGTCTAATAGCAGCTTGAGTGGACTTCAGAATCTTCAGTTAGTGTAAAGATACAGGCTGCAAGGAATTGTTGATTCTTTAACCCTTTGAGGATGGGATTGTCACTGGTAATTAGTTAGTCCCCATCCCATAGCTGAGTGGCTTGTTCAGGTATTCAAGAGAGTATTTAGTCATATCACTGTGGAAACCAGACCCAGTAAGGGTGACAGGATACCTTCCCTAAATGAAGCTTGATTTTTATGATCATGATCACTGATATGAGCATTTTAATCTGGGTTTTGAATTCCCCAACCGCTGTAATGGAATTTTTGAATTCAAGTCTCTGGATAATTAGTTCAGGCCTCTGGATTACTAGTCCAATAACATTACCACAATGCTACCATCCCTGCTGTGTCTTCACAAAGCCCTCTCTCTGTATATCGAGTGACCCAACAAAATGCAAAGCTGAGTGTTCTCCCTACTGTCACATCGAACAGGCGACACAGGATCTGCGTTTACTACAACCCAAAACCATTTATCACGGAGAGCCCTTTGAAACCCAGCAATGTAGTAGGGTTAGAAACTTGGTATGACAGATGATTGCCTTTTGTTCTCCTGGAAAGTAAACCTTCTTGAGTTTGGACAAAGAAGAATATGCAACCCAATAAAGCCTGAATGGATCAGATTTAGAATGTTGTCCCATGTTGATTTTGGTCATGAGTTAATTGTTGTCAGTAGCTGGTGAACAAAATTGCTGACCATTTGCTTGCTAGGGTGCTTTTAAGCAACAGTAGTAAGTATTTCAGTCTAAGGAAGGACTGGTGTTGTTGTTTCTGTTCTCCACCAAGCAAACATAGAAAGTGAGCAGTTCCAAGATATAATTCCAACATGGATTTACATGTTAATTTTCAGCCTGTCAATGATTTTCGGTAGCTGTGGTATTTCCCCAAAGCTTATTACAGCTTTGCAATAATATTCTAGCCTGTTTTGTAATATTGGCCACTCTTGACATTTTATTGTTCAGTTAGCATCTGGGCACTAAAATGTTATTTTGCACTTGATGAAGCACAGTACCCGAAGAGTAAAATCCCACAGTATCACCACATGGCTGTTGGTCATTATTACGGTTATATATCCTTTTATTCTTGTTTCAGAAACTTGGGATGGAATACAGAGCAGTGCAGAGTCTGGCATTATGGTGAGCAAAGCTGTCGAAATTAAAATTGATGGCAAACTTTTGAAACCTGCAGGTAGGTTGATGATTTCTCACTGCGCATTAACACATTGTTTATGTAACATCTGAGGTCTTCACAAGGGCACGGAGGAATAGTATAGTACCCGGTTTTAGAATTGCTTAATTGCACAATTCCTTAATTGTGTTCTTCTTTTCCCTTAATATTGTCCGGAACAATAAGTTTGTTATAAGATTTTGAAGTGAGCTTCAACTTTAATTGTAAGACCTAAATTAATTACAATCGTAGAATGAGTTTGAGAGCCAATCTAAAAGTTTATTAGTTGTGATTAATTCAATACTAATTCCAGGTTTAGATATGTTTTCGCAAGTTTTATAGAATTTATTAAGTTCATAGTAACATATACATATAAATAATATTTAATAAAAGCAGTGGTTTGCAGACCATCAACTTTCAGATGACATTGAAGACATTGGTTGATTGGGCACTGGTCCCCTGTTTTGTTCCCTTGGCTGGAGTTATAAAGTCTTAGAGAGCTATAGCACAGAAAAGGGCTGTTCAGCCAATTGCATCTTCTTGTTCTTCAGTCTTACTTCTTGTGTATTGAACCTCTAAAATCAAAGCCTTATTAACCTTTGCTAGCCACTATCACTTGTGCAAAGGCATATTTAACTCTAAATGCTTACTCGTGCATGAATAGTTCATGGTTAATCTTGGATTTCTCGATAGTCTATTGCTAATTCCTGACTGGTTTCTTTAAAAGTAAGCTCATTTTAGTGACATCACTTCAGACTGTGTCCTTATTCATTCTTTGATATGCCACTTATTTTATAAGATCATCCCTTTTCTAATAGCTTAGCCACCTTTGCCTAGCTTGACAATTCCATACACCTTTACCAAGATAAGGTGGTAGAAATAAGCAAATTGTATGTCTGCCTAGAGAACATAATGTCACCTTCTAATGATTAACCATCACCCCAAATGTCCAACTTGATATATCTGAATGATCTCCAAATCCTATTTTTTTAAATATAAGAACTGTGTGACTACACAATTGCTATTCATCCCTGAGACAAATTACAGTTGAAAATAACTATGCAAATTTATACAGCAAAGCTGTCACATACTTTAAATTGCTGATTTAAAATACAGCCGTGTCATTCTGTAAAAGCATTTTTAACCTCTAAGCATTCTCACCTGTGTTAGACTATGTTTACATTAGCCTGAGCCATACAACAGCAACCACAAACCTTACTTCTGGCCTGCATATAGGGCTTTCTTCCCTACAGAAGTTTACAACTGACCATAGTCAAATACAGTCACTTCCTCACTTGCTTAATCAAATCAAAATTATTGTAAAATAATTCAATCCTACAGTGTCAAGAGGGTTACTGCACAGTACAACCCATACCGCAATTTGTAAATGTTTACTGCAAGAAACATCCATTGGACAGATGTTTGCATTTGTACCCTGTGTCAGTCCAGTAGAAGGGCTCTTTGCAGCCTGCAGCTATGCACAAATGGACAATAGAAGGTTTTGTGTGGTCTCCTAACTGTAAGAAGTAGACTGCATTTCATTTTAATCAGACATGTTATGATGCGCCAATGTGGTTGATGGGACTGGAATCTTGACTTACCGTTTGAAAGAGAGGGATATTACTACTGCACCACAAGAGCTCCTTTATATTAAAATAATTAAAATACCTGTTTGGATATGTTATGACACACTTGGAGGAAGCTGGGATTTGAACCCAGACCTTCAGATCCAGAGATATGAACACTACCACTCCACCATGACAGCTCCAAGAGAAATAGGTTGTATACGGACATGTCAAATAGCAGCAGAAGTAGACGATTCGGCCTGTCAAGACTGCTCCTTCATTCAACGTGATCATGGCTTGGCTGTTCTATTTGTCTCTATAATTCCACATTCCTATCTAACCCCAATAACTGTCGATTTCTTTGCCTAACAAGCGACACAGCGCCAGGGACTCAGGTTCAATTCCAGCTTTGAGTGACTGACTGTGTGGAGTTTGCACATTCTCCCCATGTCTGTGTGGGTTTCCTCCAGGTGCTCCAGTTTCCTTCCATAATTGGAACGATGTGCAGGTTGGGTGGATTGACCATGGGGAAGTGCAGGTTAAATGGATTATCCACGGAGAATGCAGTGTTACAAGGACTGCGTAGAGGCTGGGTCTGGGTGGAATACTGTTCAAAGGGTTAGTGTGGACTCGATGGGACAAATGGTCTGCTTCCACTCTGTGTAAAGGTCAGAAATGCATGCAAATGTAAATAATCTCCAGATTTCCCTGCACCCAAAAGGAAAACCCAGTAAAACTTCAAAATAGAGCTCCAATATCTTAATTTCCAAACATCACTTTTTATAAACTGGAAAGCTTCAAGCTCACAAATGAAGTGCTAAAAATAGCTAACCATAGCTTCCCCTTCTTAACGCACCAAAAGATAAAATTCCAGACTAAAGTTATACATTGTTCTCAATATAATGGAGCATGCAGAAAAAAAACCAAGTAGAAAGAGAAGAAAAAAGTCACAATTGCAGCTGGCTCCCCTTTACTGTCACTGATTGTTATATTTCTGATTGGATTGCAGTTGTTGGAATAAAGCTTGATGTAAATGCCTGGATGGAGAACTTCACCAAAGTAGCGAGTAAGAGTAAGGTAAGAAAATTAAAGTCCTAGAGTTAGCACAGAGGTTGTGCTGCAGATGGTGCAGATTGCTGTCTTAATTTTGAAGTCCTTTGGGAAAAACATATTATTACTAAAATTGTGCATAATTGGACAATTTATTGTCACACCATACTTGTCAATGGTGAGAGACAGTAGGAACTGCCGATTGTGGAGAATCTGAGATAACAAGGTGTAGAGCTGGATGAACACAGCAGGCCAAGCAGCATCAGAGGAGCAGGAAAGCTGACGTTTCAGGTCTGAAGAAGGGTCTAGACCCAAAACGTCAGCTTTCCTGCTCCTCTGATGCTGCTTGACCTGCTGTGTTCATCCAGCTCTACACCTTGTTTTGTCAATGGTCATATCTCTTGTCTTCAGTTGCCATATCATCTTGCCATTTCCCAACTCATATTTTTAAACTGTGTCTGGACAGGGTTGTATGATGTATTCCCACTCAGCAAAGGTGGGATATGGGGCTACACTGAGATTTCATATAGTTGTAACTCAACATTTAATTTCGAGCAGGAGGGATATTCTGCTAAGAGATGCTTGGCAAATCTCCTTTGACATCATTTCAAATGCTTTGTCAAAACTTAGATCAGTCGATCGCTGTATTTTTCTTTTGAAAGCCTGAAAGTTTCTCCAGAATAAGGTGGACAACCCTTGCTTTAATAACTGCAGCAGAATCTCTGTTTTGGGGCTGGGATGAGAAGGGAACTTATTCTATTCCACATACACTGATTGGATGAACATGCAGTGATTTCAGGGCCTAACTTTATCTGTGATCTTGTAATTAAGATAAAACTTCTCTTACTTGCTCAAATTGCAACACTTAATTCATCCTGCTTCCATGTTTCGCCAAAATGCCTGTTCATTCACTTTCCCTTCATCAAATACACGGCTCAGCCTTTTTGTATTTCTCCCCTCCTGCCAACACTAAACACTATTTCTCCCTTCCTCCCCACTAAAATTGGTCCAGCCTTTAACACCCATTCTCCAACCTTCATCCCAATCGTCGACAAATGTACTGTTCAATCCTCCTTAAATCCTTCTCCCTAAAGTCCAAATGCCAATTAAAGTTGGAAAACATGTTTCATGTGTCTTAAATATAAATTGCAAAGATTCTTTGCATGTATTAATCATATGCTTTTGTTGTAGTGTTATGGTGAAATCTGTGACTGCACAAAGAATAGCAAGGTAAGATTTCGGCGCACCTTTATGTTAGATCTGAAGAAGTCACATATCTTTCTTTATATGAAAGTGTAGGACTTAAATGTGAGTTGTGCAAAAGACAGTTTCGATTTAATCCTGAAGCCATTCTGGCCTGATTCAAAAATCAACAAGTGCAAATTGAATGTACTGAGCCTCATGCATGATCCTCTTAGATTAAACACAGCAATGTTTATTAATATTCCTGTCAGAATATTAGTATCAGAATACATTTAGGCACAAGGATTTTGAATATGCAATCACAACTTCAAGCATTATTTGGCTCTTTTTTAGTTCAGTTGTTCTATATTTCAATACATTAAGTTTGGTAAGCATAATGTTGTGGTAGAATTTATCAATTAATTAGATTTACAAAACAGAAAAAAAAATCTCATTTGAATTTAAATTTCTACTTAAGTTAGATAATATATAAAATATTCACTTTAGAGTAATGCCGAATGGAATTCTTTGGACAATCTCAATTTACTGAAGGCAAGTCCACAGCACAAATTTCATGTAAACTATTGACTAAAACTGTTGTACAGTTAACGAGAGAACTGTACCTGAAGAATGAAAACTGGCCTTTAAAAAGTGTACCTGAACTAAATAGTTGTATCTTTACATAGTTAAGATCAACCATTTTTGCTGGTGTTTTCTCTGCAGCATTTTGACTGTGTTATATTGGATGATGGTGGGTTCCTGCTTATGTCAAACCAGGATGAATATATTGGAAAGGTAAATGCTATTAAACACTTAAGCCTTGAATAATTTTAATACTTTGAATTAAAACAGATCATTGACCACAGCATAAAAGTGTTCTTTATTCAACATCAATTAACACTTCTTTATAACACAATACTATAGGAAGCAACAAGCATGATTTGTGTGGGAAATGAATATATCTCTCTAGCTATAGTAAGGATATTTTCTGAGACTCATTGGATAAGTGTGAATCATTGCATCAATCTCATGAAATAGCTGACAAAATAGTAATGGATACTGTTAGTGACAACAATTTCTATTCATATTGCACTTTTAACACAGCCCCAGGCTACTCCAAAAGGAATATTATAGCATGAAAGATTGATAGGTAGCCACTGAAATTTCAGAGCAGGTGACTACAAGATTGGTCAAAAATATAGTTTTTAAGAAGTCTTAAGGGAAGAAACCAAGATCAAGCAGTTTAGGGTAGAAATTCGAAGTTGTGAATTTGTGAATAGCTTGGAAACTGTAGGCAGGCCCATAATAGACGCAGCAATTAAAGCAGAGATACCAAGAGACCACTGTTAGATGGGTTCAGATAGTTCAGAGTGTTGTAGGACTGGAGGAGTTCAGGAGGGTCCAGATCATGGAGTGATTTGAAAATCAGAATGAAAATGTAAAACAGAGGGTTGGTTGACTGGTGCCAATGTACGTCAGAAAGTACTGTGCTGATAGGAGAACACAGGGCGAATTGCAAAAGCAAAATTTAGATGACCTCAATATTATGGAGCATAGTAGACAGGTGGTCTGTCGGGAATACATTACAGTAGGGCAGTCTTGAGCTAACCAAGGGATGGTTGGTGGTTTTAGTAGTGGATCAGCTGAGGCAGGGTCAGAGTTGGGTGATGTTATGGAGGAGGAAATAGGAAGTCTTGGTGCCAGCAAGGATATGTGTCAGAAGTTCAACTTGGGGTCAAATTTGAACAACTTGTTGCAACCTCAGGCACCTGCCATGGGAAAATGCTGCAGCCAGCGTCTGAGGAACAGTTTGGAGCAGAAAGGAGGTATGGTTGTAGTCCCCAGAAGGAACCACAGCTGAAGGTCAGGATTTTTTTTTGGCAGTTCGTGAACAATATTCATACTCTCTCTGCTCTAAGAAAGGATGGTAGAAAGGGAACTGGCTGTCGCATTTTCTGATTATTCTACTTCACTTCTTTAATGGACTTCAGCTTTGACCATTCTACATGAACTCCATTGTCGTAGCTCAAAATTTAATTGAGGTTTTAAATTTATGGTGGGATTTTGGCTCTAGCTGCTTGGTTGAATCTGAGCGAGTGAATTGTTAATGTAACTTGAGAACTTGATCTTGCCAAGATCCAACAGTCTAGATATTTTAAGGGACTGTCCAGCAAATGCACCAAGGATATCTGCTCAGAGTCAGCGAGGCCCTTCTTTATTTATGCATCTCAAATCCCGATTGCAACATTTTAACTGAAGCATGCATGGGAAGGCAACATGGTTTTCCAGCAGGTGAAGGCTAGTCAGCACTTGCTAGGAAGTTGAAGAGATTGAGGACTGACAAGTCACAGTTAGACTCCTTTCTCAGGGATGAGAATCTCAGGAGATGCCCCTGAAACTTGATTATGCTGCCTGTGCTCTGTAGGCAGCGAACTTTCATACTGGTCATTATCAGCTGCATGCTTCCAACATCCTGCCCGTTACATCAAATAAACAAGTCCTCATTTCAGCCACTGCAGGTGAGTTTCAAATTCAATTAGCTGTCCACCCGGACAAAAGCCATCCATGATTAAAACATAGATTGATTAGTTGACTCTGAAGGATTTGCTTCAAGATAGGATTGGCCCTTGGGGCTACCTTGAAGTGGAACAGTTGTTATTTTATATACAAACAAAGAAGCCAAACTACAAAGTTACTTATCTCGCTATAAAGTTTCCTTGGAAGCCAGTTCAAAGCAATATCTAATATTTATAACATCTTTTGTTAATGTGTCCAATTGCATTGAATGTTCGTACAAAATAATTGGTGTCTAATTTGTCCATCCAGAACTTCCTTGAGATTTCTCATGATCAGTCACCAAACTTTACAGTTTATCAGGAGTTTCCAAGGATCTTCCAGCATATTTCCATTCTGTTAAATTCCCAGCAGTCAGTTTAAAACTCTGGTGTAAGCTGTAGTTCAAACAGTTTTAACAATTCCCATTGCTGCTTCAGATTGGCAAGTTCTTCGGTGAGATTGATCCAAGCCTGATGAGACGCCTTCTGAATACATCGCTGTATGCCTTTAACAAGTCCTATGATTTTCAGTCTGTGTGTGATCCAGAAACAGAGACAAAAGCAGCAGCTGGGCTTCGCTCAGTCTTTGTTGTAAGTAAATTAAAGTTATTGATATCAAATGTAATGGAGCCTCAATTCCATGGTAATGGCTGCCTATGGTCAGAGAATGAGAAACTGAAATTGATTTAATTTTATATCAGTGAAACTGACATGTTTTGTGTAACTTATAAGTTGTTACTTAAAAGGTTGTACCCAAATTTGTATTCTATTCAAGAAACTCATTTTTTATTGACATTATAACTGACATTTTAATGAGACATATTTTATGTCTCCTTACAATGCATCAGTGTGCCCAATCAGAATGTAATTGTGGACCTCTGCATGATGCAGTGCTGCTTGCTGTGAGGAGCTTACCAGGTCCCTGTCAGTCCCAGCTCCTCGATTCACGAGTTTTGACGCCAGGAGCTGAGCTTCAGAGCTAAGAGGAGAGTGATTTTTTTGACATGAGAGCAGCACTTACCTGAGTGTGGCACCAAGGAGACTACATTGAATTAAAGTGAAAGGGCTCCAGTTGTGAAGATGGAAGACAAGATGCTCTTCAGGCCTGTCACAGGATTCATACCTGTAACAAAGAAAAGTGATTGTAATTGTCGGAGATCACTTGTTCAATTGGTGGCTCAGTGTTTAGCACTGCCGACTCACAGCCCCAGGGATCCCGGTTCGATTCCAGCCTTGGGCAACTGAGTAGAGTTTGTAAGTTCTCCCTGTGTCTGCATTGGCTTGCTCCGGTTTCCTCCCACAGTCCAAAGATGTGCAGGTTAGGTGGATTAGCCATGGCAAATTGCCCATAGTGTCCAGGGATGTGCAGGCTAGGTGGATTGGCCATGGGAAATACAGGGTTGTAGGGAGTGTGTCTGTGGGATGCTCTTCCGAGGGTATGGACTCAATGGGCTGAATGGCCTGCTTCCCCACTGCGGGGATTCAATGAAGTCACAGGACATCTCTGCACAATTCATAAGAACATCAGATGTGGAAAAAGCTCTCTGCTTCTCATGTGGCTAATCTACTATTTCATCCATTTGCATATCCTTTGATGTTCTTAGAATCTAAAGGTCCATTGTTTTCTGATTTAAATTTATTTGTTGAGTGAACATTTTCAGCCCTCTCCATTGACGATTCCAAGGACCCATTACTTTTTCAAGAAAAATGTTTTCCTTACCTCAGTTCTGAATGATTATCTTTTACCATGACTAATATTGTAATTCCAAGCTCCAGACTTGGCCATGAAGGGAAATATCTTCCCAGCATCTACCTTGTCAACCCCCTTGAGTGTTTTTTTAGTGCTACATTGAAAGCACCATTCATTCTCTAAACCGCAAAGAATATAGGCCAAGTGTGCTCATTCACCTCTTACAGAACAATCCTCTCATCCCAAAATCAGTCCAACAAATTTTCATTGAACTCCCTCTAGGGCAGATATTTCCTTCCTTAGGTAATGTAACTAACTGCACATGGTACTCCACGTGCAATCTCATCAATGCTCTATATAATTGCAGTCAGACTATTTTACATTTGGACTAAATCCATTTGTAAGCAAGGCTTACTCAGACCCATTCATTCCGAATCTTCATTTTCTGTCCTGTCACCAGTTCTTAGTTCATGTTATTATATTATCAGCCATCCCATTATTTCTAAATTTTTGTAATAATCTCTTCCACAGCACCTTATCAGATGCTTTTTGAAAATCCACATTCATTACATATGCTAATTTCTTCTTAAACAGCCTACTAGTTACAATTTCAAAAGCTCAAACAGTTCTTTTATAGATGGTTTTCCTTTCAGAAATCTGTGTTAGGCCAAACAAGTTGACAGATTCCAGTATTCTCTCAACTAATGTTGTCAGGTTATGTGGCTTATTTTCTAGTTTCCCCCCTCCTTTCCTGAAAATTAGTGTTTAAGATTGTTATCTTCCAAACTATGGGAAGTGCAGCCAAATCTAGGGAATTCTGGAGGTTTTCTCAGGGAAATGTGTGTCTTAGGCTTTATAACCATCTTCTGCTCATCATGATGAACCTTCCTCCCCATCATAAGGTCAGAAGTGGGACTGTTTCCAATAATTATCAAGTGTTTGCCTCTGTTTGCACTTCCTCAGATAGGTCAAATCAATTGGCTTGAACAGTTATCCCAGTGTTAAGTCATCCCTTCAGCCCTAACCTTCCCAACTTGTGGATGCATGGAGAGAAGGTGCCATATTTAAATGAACAAAAATTTGGCCATAATTGAACAGTTCTAGCTTATTTCATTCCAAGATCATTTCCGAGACAGTGTCATATGAGCCATGTGGTAATTCCTTTTAGTTAATATTAAAACATCTACTAAAAGATTTGCCAATCTCTGGATGTGAATATATTTGTCAAGTTTTATTTTAAAAATAGGAAAACCTTCAATTGATTTCAATTGTTTTGTTCAGACATGAATATTACAGATCGAATAGTAATAACCTGCAAAAACTAAGAAGCAATGTTCTGCAAAATAAAGAGAATTTAAGTGGCAGGAGATTGTGCTCTACCAGAATTATACCCATTTGCTCAGAGTCATGATCCCATGAATCTGATGAAAGATTAAAGACTCACAACATTTAACTGCACTTCTCTCTCCATAGATGATGCCAGATCTACTGAGCATATCCAGCATTTTCTGCTTTTATTAATCCAGAATCATCATTAATTCACTAATCCTCTTTGAAAGGAGTGTTTAAGGCCAACTGTAAACCACCCTGCCCACCCAGTTTGGAAGTATTGCACTATCTTCGAAAATTGTTGTCAATTTGATTGATGTATTCTTAAATGATCTCACATTAAGACGAAACATTTACAGTCATGATCGGTTAGATACTGTTTACTGAATACTGAATTAACAGTGATGTTTCTTAAATCATTTTTAGCCCAGCATAGTCGATATTTTGAATATAGGTTGGTGGGCATCAAGTGCGGCATGGTAAGTGAAAATTGCTTTGTTATACTCACTTAATTGAACAAGTGACACAATTACACAAATTTTGATGGCAGCAGGAAATTGAATACATCACTAAGGCAATATTAGACTGTATTAAATATGTAAGGCTTTAAACTTTGGTTAGGCAGTTTTACAACAGAATAAATTTGCATAGGCCTCTGGGAATAGTTTTACCCAAATTTAATCTTTCATTGAGTGGACTAAACTTTGTTTGTTGTGCTTTTACTATCTTAAAGTCCCTGCAGCTTCCACCTGCACAGGCTTGGGAATGGAGCAAATGGCAGCCCAATAACTCAACCAGTGTTAATTTTGAGAATGTTTCATTGCCTAAACTGGGTAACAATATTTCAGTAGATAGGCTTAGTACCATTTAGAATTTGTCACTTTGCTTTTGTTTGATTATTTTATCACACTGCTTGGTTCATCTTTGCAAATTTGGTGCAGCTGACTTTCAGTGCAGCTTCCTCATTCGTTCAGTTAGGGTTTGTAGAATGAGAGTGAGCACGTCTCTTAACAGGGCTTTTCAAATTCCACAAAAACCAGGACACTGCCCTTTCAACCTACTCTCGATTATTTGGACTTCAGAGCTGAGGTGAGAGTAACTACCCTTGACAGCAAGGCTGTATTTGACCAAGATTTGACAAGAAATCCAGCAAAATTGGAGTCACTGGGAACCAGGGGGAGATTTCTCCATCAGTTGGAGTCATATCCGGCACACAGGAATATGATTGTTGGTGTTGGAGGTCATTCTTCTCAGACAAAGGACATCTCTGCAGGAGTGCCTGAAGAGTAGTGTCTTAAGAACAGAGATAGAATGTTTGCTGATGATAGCACAATGTTAGCACCATTTGTGACTCCTTAGATACAGAAGCAGTTCATGTTCAGGTCTTGCTATGGACAACATTCAATCTTGTGCTGATAAGCACCAAGTAACATTTGCGCTACACAATTGCCAGGCAATGACCATCTCCAATAAAGGAGAAGCTCATCATCGCCCCATGTCATTAAATGGCATGAACATCACTGAATCCCCCACTCTCAACATCCTGGGGCTTATATAGATGAGCAACTAATCTGGACCAACTATACAAACTCTGTGATAGAGATAGCAAGAACTGCAGATGTTGGAGTCAGCATCAACACTGTGCGGAGCTGGAGGAACACAACAGGTCAGGCAGCATCAGAGGAGCAGGAAAATTGATGCTTCAGGTCAGGACCCTTTTTCAGAAATGGGGAGGGGTAAGAGAGCTGGGAAATAAATAAAGGGAGGAGGTGTGGGGCTAGGGAAAAGTTGGTGGGAAGGTGATAGGTGGATGCAGGTCAGCGGTAGTGGAGATTGGTCAGTGGGATGGGTGAGGCGGATAAGTGGAGAAGAAGATGGACAGTTTGTGTCAGGTCAAGGATGTGGGGATGAGAGGGAGGATTGGACATGCAAAAAGGCTGGGGCTGGGGAGATTTTAAAACCGGTGAATTCTATGTTCAATCCATCGGGCTGTAGGCTCCCAAGGTGGAATATGAGGTGTTGTTTCTCCACTTTACATGTGGTGTCATTGTGGCACTGGAGGAGGCCCAGGATGGATATGTCATCAAGGGGATGGGAGGGGGAGTTAAAATGATTAGGAACCGGAAGGTGGTGTTGATTATAGCGTACGGAGCGCAGATGCTCCGCAAATTGGTCATCCTGTCTGTGCTTGGTCTCACCAATGTAGAGGAGGCCACACTGAGAGCAACAGATACAGACTCTATGATTAGATGAGCAGGTCGAAGGCTAGGAATGCTGCAGTGAGAACTCGCCTCCTGTGTTCCCAAAGCCTGTTCACCATCTACAAGGTACAAGTCCAGACAGTGATGAATTATGCTCTACTTGCCTGGATCAGGGTACTTTCAACAACACTCAAGATGCTCAGAAAACTCCAGAGCAAAACAGCCTGCTTATTTGGTACCCAGTCCGCCCCCTGCAGCATTCACTTCCCTCAACACTAACAAATGGTGGCTGCAGTATACACCATCTACAAAATGGACTGCAATAGCTCGACACAGCTCCTCCCACAGCACCTTCCAAACCCGTTACCTGTAGCACCTAAAAGTATAACGGCAGCAAATGCATGTGAGCAGCACCAGCTGTAAGCTGTTCCTTAATTGTCACTGGATCAAAACTCAGAGTTTTCTCTTTCAGCATTGTGGGTCTCCCAAATATTGCAACAGTTCAAGAAGTCTGCTTGTCACTACCTTCTCGAGGGAATTAGGGATGGGCAAAAAGAGCTGATGTAGCCCGAGATACCCACATCCCACAAATGAATAAAAAAAAGGTACAGCCAACAGCATGTACAAATAACTGGAAATGGCAAGTAACTCAAGAGAATGACTGAGTTCCCCTCGACTGATCTTCATCCACTAGAACGTCAGAGTAGCTCTTGAGTCCAGCTTTTGAAGAATGCAATGCACAGTCCAGACCATAGTTTCATCCATTTGCACTTGCTTTATGCACACATGCCTGACTGTAGGTGAAACTTGTTTCCTAGAAAAACTGGGAGAAGTAGGTACAACAGAGCTTTAGTTTCCTATCTGCCAGCTTCCCTAATCCATTATTAAATTTTCAGGATGCTGCAGTCAAAAATCCTCATAGAATAATGGAATTGAGAACATTCAACAAATGACATTCGAATTCTACATGAATAGGCTAAAGCATACTAAATGGTATTCCTCACCCATAACTATCTTGTCAGTGTGATACCGGTGAGTACTGTATTCTCTGGGCAAGCAGCTGGGTGAGGCAGTGAGGGTAAGGTAAAGACAAAGCCACCATTGTCGCAGAGGACCATAGGGCTGCTCTCTCATTAGAGAGAGACCACAGGTGGTGCTTTAAACTGAGAGTCATCATGCCTCAGGCGAGGGGAAAGGTTGAGAAGGCAAGACATTTGTGGTGACATTAGCTGGTACAGGAACTGAACTTGCTGTCTGCATCGCAAACCTGCCACCCAGCTAATAAGGACATGGAGATGGAGCAACATTGTGTGTGGCTCTGGCTGTAAGACAGTTTGATACAAAGCTCCCCGAACTGATATTTTGTTTAATTAATGACGATATCAATGCGAACAACCTTTGTATAAAAAGTAGGAAATGTATTTTCAGAACTTAACATATACATTAAATCTTTGCAAATCATGTCACTATAACTGAAAAGATCTAAACAGGTGACTAGACCGAGTAATAGAAATAACATTTCAGAATGGAATTTACATTCAACTGCATGTAATTGTGGAGTAAATGATTTAATTTGGCCGCCTTTAGTCACTTTTTCAAATGTTATTTCTTATAAGTGTTCTTACTTAAGAAATGCTAAATATTTCATGGTGTCTTAAGTTCTGCATTCAACTTATAACAAAGAGGGTTAGGTATTCATTTTCACTGTCTGGCCATGATTTTCATACCCTTTACACCCCTGAGCATGTTGTAGATCTAAAAGGGACATGTGATTTGTCAAGCAGTGAAGGGGAACATCTACCCCTACAGCTCTTCACCTCATTGTTCAAACATTTACTTTTTATCTCTTCATTGATGTCCAGGTCCATACTGCAGCAGCTGTTCCTCAGCCTTACCTTCCCACACTTTCTTGAAGCAGGTACCTGAAATTTTGTTTGGTGGAATCTGTTATCTCTGACTTTCATTTATGTTGATTCTTTTGTAAATGAAAAACCATCAAAGATAAATTGAATCGTGGTCCATTCACACAATTGATGCGATTTACCACATCGACAGAATCCCTGCATATTTTGAGCAGGCTAGTGTGACAGTCAGGTTACCAGCTGTAGTGGGTTGTATTGCTGGAGGTTTCAACACAAAGCTTCAGGCCTCCAACAATCCAGGCCTAACTCTCCAGTTGGCAATCACTTGACACATTGATCTTCAACAGGACTTGTCACGTTGTGCTAATTAGTAAAGGAACAGAGTTTTTGTTACCTTGCTAGGTGATTCTTGACCCAGTCAAAAGGCCATATCCAATACGTTTATAACTCATAAGAAAAATGTTCAACAAATTGAAAGTAAATGCAATTTGTTTTAACGTCACTGTGATTTTTCTTCTGGGTTACAGCAGTGCCCCTGGAGAATAATCTTCAATTTCTGGGGCATGCAGTTCAATTCTAGAAGGTTTGCAACTTTTGGTGGGTTTAACCATGCCTGACCATGAACAATTTTCAAGTTCTAGGGTTATTTGAGCATACATGGAAGATCTGAGACCTACAGCTTTATAATGTAAATGGCAACATTGTTGCTGGCCAAAGAATGTGAACTTAACCTGTTCAATGTGTAACAGGCTATAGATTATACAACATACATTAGAAAACATCATCCTGACCAGATAGGTGCTGCCTGCTGCAGTGATTGGTATTAGCTTGTGTAGCATCACTAGAAATGGGGTGGCACGGTGACAGTGTTTGGCACGGTGACAGTGTTTAGCACTGCTGCCTCACAGCACCAGGGACATGCTGGTCATTGGTGACCCTGTTTTTGACTGTACAACCTAGTACAATCCTTTAACCTTTAAATCTCCATATTAATGTGGAGATACTGGATATTAGGAATGTCTTGGTCATCCTTAAGCTTGGCATCACTAAGTTAAAGGTCAAAGGAATTTATTTTAATAATGGAATCTCTTTATTTACTTACCAATAATAAAAAAAATCTCACCTATATTAATGTGGAAAATTCAAGGCTTAGCAGCAGAGAACAGGAAGCCAGTGGATTGGCTACTCGAATGATTTAATCATTTCCGTTTGTTTCAGAAAGCAGGCAAACTCCAACAGAAAATGCTCACCCACCAGTTTAGTGGCTGTGATGACCAGTTTGAACTTTGCACTACCATTAAAAGTCTCCAGCATAGACCGATGTGTCACTGCTGGAGCTGAATGAAAATGAAACATGATGAGAAAACTGCTTCAAGAGTGCCTGTAGTCCCAGAGAGACATCTTGGCACTGACTTACTGAAAGTACAAAAAATATCTAAAAATTAATCCAGTGAATTTTCCCCATCTTGATATGGTCAAATCTCCATAACAACAGGAACAAAAACAAAGTGGCTGGAAAAGCTCAGCGGGTCTGGCAGCATCTGTGAAGGAAAAAACAGAGTTAACGTTTCAGTTCCTCAGAACTGAACTTAAATCTCCATAATCTTATCCCATCCCTATGCAGCCAAGCTACTTCCTGAATCTGAGGAAAATTTAGAACAATTTTGGAAATTTCTCTCTGGCACCCAAAGGTAGCAATCAAGTTTCAACAGTCTAAAGGAGCAGGATAACACAGCCTTCAAAAACTTAGCTGCCTTTCTCAAAGGTGGATATAGATGCCACTATCAAGGGCACAGCCATCTCCCTTTTCAATCTTTGTCATAGGCCTATGGTCACAATATATGCCAGCATTTTATGCTTACAGTCAATATCTCATAAATTGATTGTACTTCCTAGCATTCAACTTTGATCTATGATCTTGTAATGTCAACTACTACACATTTTCCTTTGCTCCTAATTATGATAAACTCCAGGAGCTGATCCACTTAGACTGAGTCTCAACTTTTCATTATTGTAAAGATCCCAATCGTATTTTATTAAAGCTTATACTTTTCCAGAGCAAAAAGCTGTGGCCTTGCCTAGGCTTTCCTGGTAACTCTGACCTTTAAACGAAATGTCAGTCTAGTGGCTCTTTTCTGAACCTTATCAAGGATCTCAATTCTTTTCATCTCAGACATTAACACTCTCACATATCTTCACATTGATGGACTTACAGGGTGAATGTACTACTAAAGATTTATTTTACAAGTGCGATGATCTTTATCTGAAAATACATTAATAGTATAACATCAGCAAACAAAACAGACTATTTTGTAAGGGATAATGTTTCAGCTCAACATTCATTTGTATTTCATTTTCGATTTCCAGTAGATGCAGATGCTGAAGATTTTTCTGAACCGTTATCAAAATCCAGTTGTATCACTGAACAGACGCAGTATTACTTTTATGATAATGAATCATCCTTCTACGGGCTTGTGGATTGTGGTAACTGCTCGAGGTAGGACTGCAGCAAAATTCTAGCACTATTGAGATCGCTGTGTTGAGATCTGGATCAGTGCTTTTCAGACTGTTTGCTGTTTGAAGATACTAATGCATTTCAACTAGCTTGCAGCTTGCACTTCCAATAAGTATCATGAAAAGTATCACCTGACAGAAATATTTCACTAAAGATAGAACTTGTACTCACAGACAAAATTTCACAATCTATGCACATCTTGGCCTTAATGGATGATGCAGTACTTTTGAAGTGTAGTCACGATTGTAAAGTGTGAAGCGCAGCAATCAATTTGCAATCAACCAAGTTCCCTCATGTTCACCTTTCCTAAAGTTATCTATTTTTTCTTACTGTCTGTTTTGTCTGATTCCACCTCTATAAAATGCTTTGAAGATTTTTATTTGCTAAAGTTGTTAATATAAAGCAAAATCTTACTGTTGTTGCAAAGTGCACATCATCGTAAGGCACAATTCTCTTTGGGATCAAAAAATGATGAGTAGAAATAAAGGAAGCTAAATAAGTAGCAACTTGCATTACAGTTGTCACATAATAAAACACACAAAGGAGCTTTGTAAGTAATTATTTGGCATTGAACAGGAAGGATGAGAAATGGCTTAGACATGCAGAAAAACAGAATTGGTGAGCAAGTTTTTGAAGGTGTGGCAAGAGGATGAGGAACTTTTTTTGAAGTGAATTCCTGAATGCTGAGTCTGTGCCATGAATAGGAAAATAGAGGAGTAGGTCACAATGTAAAAGAATACATTTCTCACATTAGATAACTTCTTGAAAAGGACCATAATCAATAAAAATGGCGGTTGTGGGTTCTCAGTTAAACATTGGTTTCTGCATATCATTTGACACATAGTTTGTGTCATCGCTATCATATCCTGACTGAAGTTGCTCCCATGACAGTGGTGTCTGGCAAATGGAATTTTAGTATTGTATTTGTTGACTGGAAGGTACATATTCATTTTTTACCATCGTGATACACTAAGGAGGAAAGTCAATTCAACAGAAGTGGTTTTGATGTGTTGCAATGTTTAATAATATAGGGAGGAAGTTTTCAGGACATTTTTCATGAAAGATGGTGCCTCACTGCTATTAGCATAAAGTGATCTTGTAGTGAACCACCCATTAGCTGTTTTACATCACCCCTTGAAGCCAATGGAAAGGAATTGCATTTGACCTTAAACAAGCTGCTGAGTCCATGTCATGTTACTGATGAAGATCAATTTCACCTTACAAATCTACTAAAAAAAAGTCAAACCTTTCCAAAAGTTACTGAAGTAGCTGCATTAAATTAATTAAACTAAAGTTTTAATTTAATAATTTAATTAAAATTTTTGATTATTTAATCTGCAAATGCTGTACCTTTGTACCTCTTGCTTTTTTCATTAAGGTGTTGATCAAAACTTTTTCCTTTTGTGTTCACGCTGATCAATATTAATTTGAATGTAATTTTGTTTTAGGCTTTACCATGCGGAGAAGCTCTCCAAGACAAACCTGGTGTTTATACTGGTGGAGAGTAAGCCCACATGTCAGTCATGTGACTCAAAGCCTCTAATGCAAGCAGAACAAAAATGTATCCTTTACTTGTCAATGTTGTACATCATCAAACACAGCAATTTCATTAGGAATGGTAGTTACAAATTGGGCAATAATGTGGTTAGAATGGTAAGCTATCTCTGACCATTGATGGGGAGTCAAGTCAGAACTGGATCTTGGATGGCAAGCATTGGCGCACGAATGAAAGAAATATTGTTAGTCACTAACGATTGAAATGTTTCTTGGTATTTTTGATGTGATATTGGGATGTAGCAGGTTGAAACATACTCTGAAAGGATAATTAGCATGGTGCAGGACACCTTAAATAGAGATTCCATCAGTTAACTAGACATCAACATTAATCGCCCAACAAGCATAGACTGATACTTTGTGCCACTGCCATGAGAGACAGGCTCAGAGTGGTCAGTGGAAGCCCTTTAATAGGCTATCTTTACGAAGACAATTGGTGTATTTAACCAGGGAATAAGTAGAAACTAATCAAAAATTTTAGTGTGTTTTCAGAAGTGGAGGCCTAAAATCTGCAGCCCTTATGGTGCAGTCTCACAATAGCTTTGATGGGTTACAATTTAAACCAGGACCTGGATAACTAGGCTACATGATTGCATGGAAAGTCATCCGTCTTGTTCAGAGGCCCCACTCACCTCAAACAGAGCGAGTGATATAAGATGGGACAGAGATTCCTGTGGTTTAATTAGATTCATGGAAATCACAATAATGTAATTAATCACATGACTCTGACATCAGTAAGAGACAAGAGATCCATCTAGAGTGGGTAATGGAAGAGGAAGATCTTTGACACTACATTTTGAGTGCTGGAATAGAGAACCTATTATATACAGATGTAAATAAAGGAGTTGAAGAGAAGGAATAAGCAGGCCTCAGCAACAGGGTATGTGGACACACCTATGGACTCAGATATTCCAGACTGGTATCTCAGTGTGCAGGAAGCAGTATTGGCTTAAAGCACAAGATGGTGTAGCTCTCTTCAGCAGAAGGTCCCACATTTCCAAACATCTCAGAGTGACCTAGCATATTGTTAGGTGGAGTGTGGCACTGTACCAAAATGTGGAACTGAGGCTCAACTGGGAGTCCACACTGAGGTCATGCATGAAGATTTTGAGGGGAGGTGTTAAGTGTGAAGTGCTGCAATGGCCATTTACATAACTTTAGCCCCAAAATGGCATGAAGATGATGGCCTATTGTTATTATCCCGAGACTGGCAGAGATTAATCCCAGATTTGAACCCCACAGTGGGCTGATGGTGGAATATGCATTCACTAAAAATCTGGAATTAAGCTTTTAATGGTGACCGCTGTTGGTAGTTGGGATAAGTCCATCTGGTTTAGTAATGTCCTTTAGGGGAGGAAATCTGCCGTTCTTCCCTGGACTGGCCCACATCTGACTCCAGACCCACAGCAATGGTGTCAACTCTCAACTGCCCTCTGGGCAACCAGGGATGGGCAAAAAGGTTCTTTGTTTCAAGCAGCTAACTCCTTCACACACGGTAAAATCCTAGGTAACATCTGAAGGTTTGTTTTATTTTGACGGAATAGCCACTGTGGCTTAAACAAATCCTCTCAAATTAGTTTGACCCTTTCATTCTCCTGGACAGCTCTGTTTTTGTCTCCTAAGGTTTTAATTTCCCAGGTAGCTGCTTTATTGCTGTTACTGATTCCAAATTAGATTCTGTTTTTGGTAATATGCTTCTGTAAAATCCTTAAACCTGGCCTGTTGACCATGTTCTCCATTCTTGACACATTCCAATAAATCAAATTTTATTCCCAATCTCCTGAACTTCAATTACAATATGTTGCACACAGTTGATGGTTGGTGATATGGCAGGAGACTGGGAGCAGCCCCAGGCTACGTAAAAGTCATATGTTATATTTAATCATTCCTGAATGCATTCATCTTGACAGGACTAACCAGAAAATCTCTGTGGGAATTACAGGCATCCCAACTGCCTTGACCTATTTCTGTTTAACTCTAGACTGTATAAATCTTCACTGATTGAAGTTAAATGTGAAAGAGTATGCAAAATTACCAGCTGAATTTATTCCCAGTTGATAAAGTGGTATATAGTTGCAGGATAATGTAGTGAAGTGTTGAGAGTGAACGCTTATGAAATGCATTCTGTTTTCTTTTGTCGTGCCTTTTTCCTTAAGTAAACCTTGCAGCTGATGGACCTGATCCCTGTCTTTTGGCTCAGAACCCCAGGCACAGAAAAGGTCCTGATGTATGCTTTGATTCTGATGAGCGTGTAAGTATGCAAGGTTTGGATTCAGGAAGAAAAGCAAGCTGCAAAGAAGTATATTGGAATATGTATTTCTAATGTGTAGTGTCACAAAAAAAGGTACCTTTAGCACCTTTGTACAGATGTGATACTGCTCTGGGCCATAGTTTCTTTATTTTGATAACATGTCATAACTCTTTTGGAATGTTAACATAAAATTAACTGCAGCTTTCAATATCCTTTCTTTGAATACTCTACTTTCACGTGTGCAATCTGGTAGATGTGACTGGAATTTGTCCCTAGTGCTTGGAATTTAACTTCACATGTACAACTGTTTGTAATCGTATCAAGCTATTCAATATTGGAATGATGTTCAACGATAGTTTTAGATACTAGATGGATTTAACTCTTTTCTTGTTTCAAATTTCATGCATTAAGTTAGAGCTGACAAAAATCAGTAGTTATGTAACCAGGAGGCTATTGGATAATAAGCAGATTCTCAGCTTCTCTTGTGTAGTATTATAGTATTACAGCAAAGAAAGTCTGCATGTTCATTCTTCATATGAACCATCCATTTCAAATATCTTTACTTACTATCTCTAACACCCTTAATATTTCCCTTATTCAAGCAGTTATTAAACACCCTTTTAAAATAATTAGCTGACTGTGTTCCACTAAGCTTTCATGGCTTAGTTTAACAAATGCTAAATCTTATCCATTCTTAGTGTAAAGACTCGTGTTTCTGACTTTCCTTTAAATTGTATTTGTGATTATCTTTACCTTCTTATCCCTCACTGAGGCCAGTGAAAACAACCGATCTCTATTCTCCAATAATCCTCATGGCTTCTATCATTCAGTTCTTAACTAAAATGACCAGTTTGCCTTGATCAGCTTTGATAACTCATATTCATGAAAATTTCATCAGATCTTCCTGAAATCTCCTTCATAAACAGCTTTCTTTTCATTCTAGTGGTCACATGAGGAATGACAAATGCAAAGACTTTAGGTAATTCATTTCCAAGTTGTGATTTTTCTAAGTTGTAGAAGAGTTATTTTGAAATGATTTTCATATATTAGACCACATTTGTATAGTGGCTTTCATTTATCACTTAAGACTTGTTAAGAACTGCTTGATTGAGATGCTATTTTAAGATAATAGCAACTTTCCAATATGTGCTAAATCATCATATAATTGCTACATATCTTAAATTAGTTATGTTTCATAAAGAATTTAACCCATTTATCCAATTTAGCCTTATACTGCCTGCATTCATTTCCATCATAACTATTTGGGGAAGCAGTCACAGGAAAATCTTCCATTATTATGTATTTAAGATGGTTATACATATCATAGCCACAGCTAAAAGACCTGATATTCCTGATTCCCCATGATGCCAGAAATGTCATGTGATCTCCCCAAAAGTCCTTTGCGTGAAAGTACAGTAGCACGTGCTCACTAGCTTGACGTCTTTGCTGATTGATGTGTTATTGTGTGTGTTTTTAGTTTGTTAATAGTGGGGTATTTTCTGTTCTGTGATTTACACTGTGACTTTCTGCTCTAGGTGGACGCTCACATTAATTCTGCCAGCAGCCAGCAAAATGCATGAACTCATCTTGTTTGTCTCTTTTTTTTGTGTCCCCTTCCTTTTTTCTTCTTGCTACTTTGCCCGTTGTTAATAGGATGAGCCTATATGCACAACGAGTCGTGCCTCTGCCGTGGCGTCAGCTCGTCTCTTCATTTTACTGCAAGTTTTGATGTGGTGCGGAGGGTCAGTTACTTTCACTGGTTTTGTTCTTTAGTTTCCTTCTTAGGTGTGATATTAACTTGAAACTAACACCCATACAAATGATTGTGGTCCAGAGCGAACTTATTGTGGTTTGATAATTGCAAAGCAAACTAAATTTGTTCTTCCTTTCGAACTAGATGTTTTTCTAGATCTGTTCATTTTGAGTTCTTTCTAGAACTTGAGCGAGAGTTTATACATTATGTATATGTTACTTAATGCATTTGAATATATTTTCATAGACAAAAAATGTTTAACAGTTTGTCAACTTGACAAGAAAAAGCCATGAATATGGGATATGAGGAAAGATAAATTAATTGTGAGTAAAGGGAGATTAAAATAAGATCTTGACTGAAAAATAAACCCTGTGTGCCACTAAAATCACATTTCTTTTAATGCAAAATAGATTGAGCCAATGTAAAATGTTGATGAAACTTTCAAAAGATATCTTCTGACATTTGATAAAGATAAAATACTATATATGCTTTTGTTTTAGACTATAAGTTTAATATTATATAGATGTTAATATGTATGTAGTTCCCTGTTGGTGGATGGAAATGTTTGAAAAGTGGGCCTCTGTGTTCTGCACAGTTCTACTGGTCCAAATACCTACAGAACCTATAGCTCTATCCTGGACCAATATTGATAAACCAAACTCGTCAAATGATTTAAAAAGTATTTTTACCAACTGGACTTCTTTTAAAAAAGCACTTCATTATATCATGGTTGTATTCTTCTCTTTGTTTTTTTCTGAACATGGAAAAGCAAAATCCAGAAAGTATCCAATTTGCCCACACACATTATTTGGTGGTTTGAATTCTGTGCATATTGTGCAATTTTATGTTATTTGCTGCTGGGATATTCCAAGGGTGTGTTGGAACTTCAACCCCTTAGTTATCTAGATAAAACCATAACAGGTACTGTTATTAACAAGATCTTAATTTAGAATTAAGATAACTTCTTAAGTTAGAAGAAGGAATCTGTGGTGTTGATTTGAATTCCAAGGGTTTATACTTTTGTTTTTCAAGTTATTTGATTTTTGTTATAATTATCTTTATTTTGTGCAGCACTCTGTTTTAAACTATGGGGGATTGTTAGAACAAATATAATTATTTTTTCGTTAAGATTAGGCAGCACTTTATCACATTTTCTTTAACTGTGAAGTGAAATACAATCTTAAATAACTACTGCTCTGACAGAACTACAGTTCCCATTCCAAAAATGAGGAATATTATTTAGCTCATCCTCAATCATCGATGCAGACTAGTGTGTCGAATTATCTCTAAAATGATTCAAAGGTTTTCCACTTCATTATTCTATTTGCTGTTGTCCTTCTTAATAAGATCATGAGAATTAGGAGCAGGAGTAATCCTATTGACCCCTTTAACCTGCCCCACCATGTGATGAGATCATGGCTGATCTGGTTGTGGCTTTTGTTCCTCATCTGTTAACTTCCTAGTTGCTCAAAACATTTATTGAACTTGGGCTTCAATGTATTCAATGAACCAGCCTCCATGGCTGTCTGGCAAAGAGAAGTCACAACACCAGTGACCCTTTGAGGAAAGAAATACCTCTTTCCGAGTTCTAAAGAGGAGAGCCCGTCTTTTAAAACAATGCCTCCCATGATTGAGTACTCCCGTAAGTGGGAACAACCTCTCAGTGTCTACCCCTTTGGGTCCCCTCAGAATCTTCTATGTTTCAATAAGATCATCTCTCATTCTTCTAAACACCAATGTTTATGGGCTCAACATGCCCAGTCTTTCTCTCATAAGACAGCATCCCAATAATTAGCAGAATGAATCTTCTTTGAACTGCTTTGACCTTGAGTATAGTCTTTCTTAAATCAGAGGACCAAAATTCTTTAAAGTACTGTAGGCGTGGTCTCACTCATTCCTCAGACAGTAGTTTTCAACTGTTCTTGAGTGAAGAGCTTTCTGATATCATTTCTAAATTTACTCATTACCTGAATGTCACCCTTGCTTCTTGGTAACCAGAGCTCAAAGCAGAATTCACACAGTAGTCTGACCAATGCATTATAGAGTTTGATCACAATTACCAATGATTTATATTCCACCGTTTCTAGCTATGTAGCTCAACCATCTGTCCTGCTTGTTGACCTGCCACCCTGTATTGTTTGCACAGAGTTAGCTTTGAGTCTGAGTGTCTCATGTGATTTCCACATCTGTGCCTTTTAACATCTTATACCAGGTGCCCCAGGACTAAAATTTATTTGATTTGTCATACTGTTGCTGGATTAAGGGTAACCTAAAGCCCCATGCTACATTTCATGGTCAAGCATTCAAACCTGGCTGACATGCAATCTGCTCACTTATTAATGAAACTTTTGGTCTTAAAGGACTCATTACATACAGGGCAATCCGCCATACAAAATACTTCTGGCTTTTTGTAAAACAACTGACTATCAATGTCTTGGATAGACGTGCGTGGACAGTAAAATTAGGTAGAGAGTAAATCTCATGGTCAGTCTAATTCCATTAGTTTACTGACTGACTGGTTTCCCTCCACTGACCCTTTTTCAGTGATTCGAGCCACAAAATCTAATTTTTAAGTGAACAGAGCCTGATATCAGTCAGTTTTTAATTGTTCTGTATTTGTGAAACTTTACAAATTGGTGAATTGATGGCCTGATCCAGGTGTTTGACTGTTTATTTGAAGATGAAGATGGGTTGGTTATGAAGAATTGAGGTCATAAGAGTCACGTTCATGATAAAGATCTAAGAATCAACTGCTTCTCAGGGATTGATTAACTTTGTGGATTAGTTTATTTAAAACAGTAAACACATGAAACAAACAGCAAGTCAACTGATTTCTGTGGGTGCAGCTTGCAAACCTATAGACTAACAAACAGGCAGAGTCGCAGTATTATATGTGCACAGCACATGGAGGCAAGGTACACATACAACATATCCCTCGTTTTCCAAAGAAAGTTTAACGACTTATAATACCAGGTGAGTTTATAAGTCTCTGAAAATTGAAACTAATTTGCTGAAACATCCAAACCTCATGATGATGAATTTGTCTGAAGGTATTGTCAAATTTTTCTTTCTTAGACTGCTGTTGCTGTTCCAATTGTGCATACCCTGATGCACTACAGCGAGGTTTTGTCCAAACTAACCATTCACTGATTCTGTTCATTAAGCTGTTTCAAATTGTCTTGTCTTTTATTGTTTTGTTCCTTACGAACCATTGGCTCATTTTGAAGCTTTGAGTTTTATTACCCAG